TGACTCCTCGCCTTCGACTAGGAGACGACTGTCGACGAGTGGAAACATTAAACTTACACCTCCTTTATCTATTGTTGAAGTATTCAAAATAACCAAACCTACATGTTGAATTGTTCAAAAAGTTGTTCAAAAAGAGCTAAACAAGTATAAGCCTCTCAAATTTGCCATTTGCCCTTGCTTTTTACGCCCCTCCCACTTCCTCCTCTTCTCAAACAGAGTATTAGACGTGGGTTTTGGTACTCTTAGAAATTAATGTCCCATAAAAAGGCCTGGATAGGGTTGTGAAGGTGTTAATAAGAGTGGAGCCCACATATTTTGGCACTCTTACTTTTTTCTAAGCCAAATTTGACCCCTCAATTTTGATGTTTTGATACTTTTATACTTTGACCTTATCATTGGAGATCCATTTTTTAGTTTTTTATTTACACTTTGACCTAGTCATTACAGTATGAGCTTAACTATCAAATTACAAGCTAGTTCGTCACATTTTAAAAGTGTTATATTCAGAGTATATCGATCAGCAAAACTCAACTGTTACCCTGCCAAACTATTAACTTAAAGGTAATAGTTTCATTCACTGGATAAGTTGTCGGGTTTTTTCCTCCCATTAAATACAAATATGAAACCCCAAAAAAATTAAGATGAAACTGGCCAGTTTCTATGGGTAACTTCATCCAACCAAAATAAAGAAAAAGCCAAACGGAAGAAAAGAAAGAAATAAATGGAACAGCCTGCCACACACATTCCGTAGAATAACTAGAAATAAGTCAATAACCATTTGATTTCCATGTGTTAAAAGCGGCGAAAAATACAGAAAATGACAGCCGCGGAAAATAACATGGATGCCGAAGTAGAAACACCAACAACGTCGTCGATAAATGAGGAAAAGGAAGAATCAGAGGTCGTAACCATAGCCTCCGCTCGTCGGCGATGGAAGCTGCAATGGCAGAAGTTGTGCACCAATACTCCTCCTCCCCTTAAATTGGTTTTGTTCCAGTCAACTGTTAGGGTAAGCAGGTATTCTCTGTTGAAACGATATTATCGGTTCACCTCATTTTTTTAAAGGTTTAAAGATGATAAATAGTTTATTGAGATTCTTAGGATAACTCTTGAGTTATTATCGTATTTTTTTTCCCCATTTTCATTCTTAGTTGATTATTTTTTGGACAGTTATCGGTTTAACCGTTAACCGTCAATTATCAATTAAATCAATAATCATTACAAACGTGATAGGTAGGTTGGCAGATGTGGACTTTGGGTTGTTGGTTGACAAGGGTGTAAGTTAGGGGTGGACATACGGTTCGGTAAAACCGAACTGAACCGAATATAAACCGAACCAAAACCGAATTAATGTTATTCAGTTCGGAATTCGGAAGAGAAAAGGGCATATTTCGGAAACCAGGGTCCTTTCGACCTAACCGAATTTCCGAATTCCGAACCGAAAAACCGAATTATTATAATTGCAAGCTCTAAATGGTGGATTTTTATGTTTCTACTTATTATGAGACTTAAATATTTGAATCATGTTAGTATTTGAATTATGGGTTGAAATGTTTGATTTTATCATTGATGATGCATATTTATTGTTTACATTAGGGGTGAAAAATAATTTAAAAAAGAGAAGATACAAACTAACCTCACTATTTCGGTTTTGTATGAAAAACCGAATTTGAACCGAATTATAATTCGGGTTGAACCGACCGAACCGAATTATAATTCGGTTCGGTTCGAATTCGGTTTGAGGTTTGATAAAATTCGGGGACCCGGTATGCATAATTTCTGTTTGGTTTGAACCGAACCGACCGAATGCCCACCCCTAGTGTAAGTGATTGGTCTAACCAACGGTTTGTGGGTTATCCACTACTAATTGGCTAAACTTGAGGTTAACCAAAAGCCAAAATGACAACGAAGCAACACAATAATCTCATCCTTGTAGGAGAAGTTGTCATATTTTGGGCAGGAAACGGAAGAAGGGTGACCAAACAAGGGTGGGAAGGAGAAGGAATTTTGTGGTTTTATGTGACTATAATTATGTACTTGCTCATTAGCTTAATGTCATTGAAGGTTGGAACTCAAAATATTAGCTTGTTGTCTTTCTTTTATTATAGTTTATCGTAGTTTCGTTCAATTATAACGTATGAGAGTTCGAGACGTCATTCCATCAATTTTGTGTCTCGTAACATGCATTTTTCCATTTTCCTAGATTACTCTCATCTTTGATCTTTCCATCAATCTCTTGTTATTTCCATACAAAAATGCAAATAGTCTTGTTAGTTCGTTTCTTAGCTTCCAGTTCATCGAATTATATACCACAATCTCCTCCATTATCACTGTCCCAACTCTAACTCTAGACAAACTCAAAGAGTTTTGCCTAATCTCTAAGCACCCAATAAAAATCTGTGATGAAACCATTCAATAGAGGATTTGGCGCCGAATCCATTTAGTATTAATTTTGATTAGTTCTTACAAGAACTTTTCCACCAATCCACCTCAACTTTCTATCACTACTATTTTCAATCAAGAAATTCAACCACGTGTACTCCGCATAGAAAATCCTAGGAAGGGGTGTATGAATCACTATTTGCAAATTTAATTATTATTTAACAGAGAATTACTTTTATATATGAAAATATAGATACCTTATATATTTTTTGACAGTATAAATTTTTTTTATAGTGAAAATCAAATTTATTTTAAGATGACGATTGAGTTTAAGATATTGATTGATATTTAGTATCAGGATAGAGATATATGATCGCGTGTAGTACATGGACCCAAATCTATCAGGCCTTAAAGGCCATGATCGTATTTTCTTAAGGTCTCTTACAACTACTTATTCATACGGTGAGAGATGAGTTCTATGGTGATTTAAAATGAATGTGAAGGTTGAGGTTCATTCGGGGTTAAAGTTTCCCTTGGTTTTATAGAAATCTACAGTAGTCAGTAAATTGTGGGGTCGTTTGAAAGTTGTGATTGTTTTTGTTAGATTGTTACTATACTTGTATTGATTAGAATGGTGATTTAAAATGAATGTGAAGGTTGAGGTTCATTCGGGGTTAAAGTTTCCCTTGGTTTTATAGAAATCTACAGTAAATTGTGGGGTCGTTTGGAAGTTGTGATTGTTTTTGTTAGATTGTTACTATACTTGTATTGATTAGAATGCATCATTTTTATTTTTTAGCAGACAAAATACATAGATTGTTTATGTGATGTGAGAGAAACTATCACTCAAAATGAGTGATTGTTATATCTCAACTTTAAGTTTAGATTGTTGAGATATTTGAGTTTAGATTGTTTTATCTCAACTTAAAGTTGATTTGACATGCACAATTACATATACCAAACGTTGTATTTTACAATGCCTCAAATTCATCAATACATGTATAATATTATACATGTATTAACAACAATACATCTGTTAAACAATCACAACTTTCATACGCCTCCTATGATGCAGAAAAAGGAAATCTATAGCTAGTGCGCTTGTAGGAAGCAGGAGGACAAGGCTTTGCACATGCAAAGCTCTCCCTAGAGTTCCTTGACTGATCTCTTGATCTTGTCAAGTAGGAGTTCCTTTATTCTTATGTGATCTTATACTACCTTGTGCCAAGGCTTCTTGTCTAGGTCTATAAGGCAACAAGTACCCTTCGGCTCTCTCCCTTGAGGCGTCAATCTGGTTGATCGAATCTAGAGTTGATCGTGTCATCTCCGATCTTGATCTATGTGACTAGGATTTTGATGCTTGCACCACGAAGGGATGCAAGCTCGACTTAGGAAATCATTCGATCATACAAAAGACAACATGAAGGAATCAAATACAAAAGATAGAAAGAATAGCAAATCATATTGTGCCAAAATCGAGAATACAAAGTCAAGAACCTCTAGGATTCACAAACCTACGCAACGAAGGGGACTGGTTGGCCATGGAAACGAGATCCATGAGATTCACAATTTGAAATGAAGATCCCACGGAGTCGTGAATTCGGCTGCTCAAGTCGTGAATCGTGATCGCGACGACTGGTGAGGCGAGCCAGGAGGCGATTGATGATGGCTGGAAGCCTGACTAAAGTCGTGGTAGAGTCGATAGTGAGCTTCATCGTCGTGGCTCGCCAAGTTAGAGTTGGGAAGTGAGAAGTTGAGAATTGAGATGAGAACTCTGAAAGGGAGTTGCAACTGCAGAATTGTCTAAGGAGACAGAGTGTGTGGGATGTAGAATTGCCTAACACTATTTAGGGTTTAGAATCGTTAGGTAGGTCTGGCAGGATTGTAGGCTGACAAGGCAGGGTTGTGGGCTAGCCGTATGGGTGGGCAATGGTTTGGTCCATACCAGACCACACCGGATCGAGTCGATGTTTGGACCGGACCACATCAAATCGAATATAATATGATCCGGTCTTTGGTCCTATGAATTTTAAAAATAATGAAGAAAAATGGACCGAATTTACATTTGGACCGGACCAAATGGACCAAAGCTGACCGAATGCATTATTGGTCCTTGGTCCTTGGTCCTAAGATATCTTTCATTATTGAACCGCGGTTCTCCTGAGTTTGATCCGATCCGGTCCGGATCGGACCGATGCCCACCCCCTAGCCTAGAAATTTGGCAGACTAGGTTGTTGGTTTTCCGGTTATCTGATTTTCCAATTTTAAACGGATTGGTGTGGACCAATAATTTGTATGGACAACCGCAAAATTACATTGGGTTGGTGAAAAATCCGATTTTCGGTTGCAACCGTAATGATTTAAACTGATCAAATTCCTAACTCTAGCATTATGCTGACAAATGTGTGTTTTTAGCACCCTAACCTCCGCTCAAAAATACTTGTGAAAGCAGTTTTGCTTGCATGAGCATATGATCGATGGTGTGCATAGCGGTCACAACATAAGGATTTGCGACACAGCACGTCAGCCGTCGATTTATATTGGCGCTGATCGGCCAGCTTGAGCTTGATTCACACTTCCCACTGCACAGATCATTATCCGAAATCAACCGCTGAGATCAGATTTGTCTGCGCAGTTGAAGTCGTACCTTCATCGAAGTCTCAATCAATCGTTGTCACTCGCTGCTCAGTTCTCAGTGCTCTCACCTCTTCTCCGTCAAAACATGGATTCTCCACCTTCATGATCAGCGACAAAGGATTCACCTTGTCCCTGATTCCTCTTCTGGGCTCGTCTCAAAACTGGTCGTTTCTTGAGCGGTGACGGGAGGCAGCCGGCGAGGTCAATTTAGGCTGGTTGAGGGCGAGCTTGCGTATTTCAATTCAGGAAACGCGCTCTGAGTTTCCGATCCGCAGTTATGGAGGCGTATAAGGATTGGGTGCGGAGGAATAGAGATTACGTTAACTCGTTGGAGTCTCTCGCCAGTGTAAGCAAGCGAAGCCCAATTCCCCCCCATTTGCTCACAACTCTTCTTTTCTTTCCCCTCTCTTCTTCTGTGCTGGCTTCGCTTTCTTGGTTTTTGCTATTGTCAATTCTAACCTGAGAGTGAAGGAAACTTCCGAGGTTCTGATCTTGGCACTTGTATACTGGATTTGATTGGTTTTCTCGGGAACCCTTTCTTTAACCAAAATGTTGAGCAAGAGTTTGTGTCGAAGAAGCCTGCCCTGACTGCAATTTTTGCAGTTATGTTCTCTACTTACTTAGTTTGGTTCGACAAATGGGGAAGTCGATCATCGATGAAAGAAAGGTGATTCCTTCACTGTAGATAGATAGAATTGGGTCGGATGATGGAGAGTTAGGAGTAACGGGTTCTCCGATTATGGCTGTTTGAATCATGATTCAATGACATTGGTCTACTGAAAGGATTGAGGAAAGTTTACTTTTTAAGCACCAGCAAAACCAGGTTAATTTCTTTGCGTGTGGATGAATTTGTACGAGGAGAAAACAGGAAAACTCCCCAGCAAAGCTGGAGATTGGAGATTGGAGAATAGCTTCTGCCCCTTACGGATTTAGTTATAAATTTACTCTATTTGTGCAATATACTTCAGTAATTATTTGTCTTATGCAATGTTGAATCTGTCTTACAGGGACTGACGTGGCTTCTGCCTGAAAGGTTTTCTGAGTCAGAGATTGGACCAGAAGCAGGTTTCTCTAAACTTTTGGCTAATTTGTTTTAGTTTAGAATCCCATAGGAGTTTTATTTCTTTGAAGTAATTCACGGGTTATGGCGAGAATCTATATGGCATGTTTTTCTCGCATCTGTTGCTTATTCTGAAAATATATATCATTTTCAGTTACTGCGGTTTTGGGTATGATTACTGCAATCAATGAGCACATAATTGATACAACTCCAAGAAGCCAGACACCTGCCGTAGCAATAGAGCCTCACTCTTTTCCTTATCCGTTATGCATATCCATGATAAAGGAACTGGAGACATTGGTTGAAGTTGCTGCACAACAATACTTTGGCGATGATAAAAAATGGAACTTCATTGCTCTTGCAGAAGCAGCAAAGTAAGTAAGCTGCATTTCTCGGTTTAGTTTTCTGAACCATTTGAGTCTGTTCATCATTCAATAACATGAGAGTTTTATGGCTCAGGGTGATAGTTAGGTTGGCATCCTTTAGGAACAGTGGATTTCGGATGCTTTTACAAGGAGGAGAGACTCCAAATGTTGAAAATTCACCAAGTCCATCAAAGCTTGGGAATCATCATGAGCCTGACCATTTTCCGAATATGAATGGAAGAACCCAATGGAATATGGAAGGCAAGGCCTTGTCTGCACTGAGCAGATTCCGAGAAAATGCCAGGAAGGGTGCTGACCCAGAGTGGTTACACAGGGTTCAGCATCAACATCCTGTCGTGGAGCCTCCAGGTTAATTTCCTTAAAATTATAATGGGCCTATTGGAAGATCCCTTTTCAGCCATCATAGTTGTTTTCTGTAAGTTTGATCTGAACTGCTTTGCCTTCTGTCATCTTCTTTCCATTGCCTTTTACAGCTGCAGTGGTTCAACGGCCAACACTCTCGAAGATATTGAATGAGAGAGGCGTTTCTGGGTTATTATTTGTGCTAGGGGAGGCGCTGTTCATTACAAGACCCCTTATCTATGTATTAATAATCAGGAAAAATGGAGTTCGTTCATGGGTTCCTTGGTTTCTTTCTCTAGCTATTGACTTTGTTGGGGTAGGTTGTCTTACGCCACTGTCAACATTGCGGTTTGGAGGAAGGGAGGAACAGTGTCAATTTACTGATGCTGAAAAGCATGAGGTTAGAATATGTCTTTGTTTCATTCTCGGACCTATAGAAGTACGCCTGTGGCTCATTAACTCCTGGGTTGAACTTGGCAATTTGCTAGTAATGGTCAGACTAATTGATACTGTTATGGTTGAATCAGCTTAAGAGAAGAAAACTGTTATGGGCACTTTACTTGATGAGAGATCCCTTCTTTAGCACGTATACAAGGTACCCATTTTTCTTCTAATGGTTTGCAGGTGTGTTATTCTTGTGATTGCTTGTTGTATAACAGAATACTGCATTATTGTTTATCATCCCCAGAGGAAAACTGGAAAGCACTGAGAAGATAATGGAGCCTGTACCTCTAGTCGGGATTCTTACAGGTGAGCTAAACTGTACAGTATAGTAGCCTATTGCCTTTCTGGCAACAGAGCTTACAAAAAAAAACAATGGTTTACTTGTGCTTGGACTGATTGCACATTGTAATTGTGTTCTGCATGCGCAGAAAAACTCGTCGAGCTTCTATCCGGAGCCCAAACTCGATACACGTACATGTCCGGGTCATGAGACGGAGTTCAAACCGGAAGAAGTCGAATTTATCAAAGGGAGAATTTATGGGTGAAGTTTCCCCATCTTGTCTATCTATATATTGGTCATGGATTGTTCTGCAAAGTGCAATGTCTGGGTGGGTGAACAAGAGCAGAAGTCTGGTGACCAAGCTGAGACGATGGATGTTGGCATGGTGCACACTCGCAACGAAACGGTTTGAGCTGAAGGGTTTGCTTTGCTTTGAAGGTTTGAGAGTGTCAGCTGAGCTATCTACACCATTACCAGAGTCCCCTGCCCCATAATACAAGTTGATATCACTGATTCATCAAACACCAAAACTCTGACAGCCTTTATGCTTGAACATTAGGCTGCACAACTCGGGGGGAAAATTAGGGATGTAAAGGCTAAAATGATTTGATTAGTGTTCGTCATCAACAATCACTCAACTTATCCACATAATGCTTTGATGAGTATTCGTCATTTCTCTTTTACCTCTCCACAATGGATGTTACCAAACCCACCAAAACATAAAACCACTGACTTATCACTCCTAACCTTCAATGTGGTTAAAATTTCTAAAATAATTGTCCAAGAAAATTATAATCTGACTAGATTTTATCATTATTAAAAATTAAAAGTGTGACTATAATTGTCAGAGTAAAAAAATTGGCTATACATGTATTTCATCTTTAAAAAAAATTCACACTACCAAAAACTCGACGAAGAAAGAGATTTGAAGGGCAAGGGCCTCAGAAAAGGGGAACCAGAACTCTCTTCCACGACGCAGAACCTGTAGACACCGACTCCCTCTTCCTACAATTTGAGAGTGCTGAAAAAGCCCACCCATTCCACATTCAAAATCAAACGGTCTCTTCTCAGAAAAACTCAAATGGTCAGATTCTCCTGAATGGCAATGAATGAACCTACGATATTACCACCTACATCTGGGAAAGTTTCACAACCAGGGAGAGGCTTCACCTTGCCCGACCTTTCCACCTCAACTGGGTACTTCATCAAATGCCCTCTCATCTCTGTTACCTCATCATCCAGAAACTGTTTCCAGTTTAACTCCCCCATGGACCGAACCCTTCTCACACAATCAAGACTCTCTGGCTGCGTGAAGCAGTCCTCAACTGTCGCAAGATGCTCTGCCCACAGCGACATCCTGTACCCATGAATCTGCAATAGAAAGAAAGGGGGGGGGGGGAAAAAAGAGCAGCCATAAATCAACTCAGGTTCCAAGCACACTCTAGGACCAATGCTTTGCTTCTTTTTTTTTTTTTTCAAGACAGGAACTTTCTCATCCAAGCGCTTCATATTATACCTGTCCAAGTGGGTTTCGTTGTTTTCTTGCCCAAGTATGTTGAGGTTGATATGCTCCCATTGCAATCTCTGTATCTCTGCTGCCCTCCATCGATCGTTGATTTATGTTTGCAGAACCCAGGATCACATACTCATCGTCAACTATCATCCCTTTCGAATGAACATAAATCATGAACCTCCGGCTCTTTCGAGAAAGCGACTGGAAGTGCCATAAAGTGAAACAAACTCAAATCAACTTCATGAGTGCAGCAGAAGCCATTGCTTTGAATTCAAAGGTTTATCTTGTAAACCTATGGTTCCAGTAATCAAGAGCAGAGGTAGAAAGAGAAAAATATACCTGAGGAGAATTTGCAGCATGAGGACTCGATAAACCTGCAGAGTCATTGGGGTTGATGGCCTCACGATTTCCAAGACAGAAGAAGTTCAAATAATCTGTAGGTGAGAATGCATCCTCCAAACCAGCCTCCACCAAAGCCTTGGAAATTGTCTCGTACATCATTTGCATGGTTTTATGCTACATAAGTTTTACAAAATTTTAGGACACATTTAACTGGCTCTCATTTACTTTAGAAACTGAAAGAAAGCCAAATTGCTTAATTCCTAATGGTGCAGTAGCCAGTTCCTTCTACTATTCCAGAACAATTCCTAAAGCTGTTTGCATAATGAAAGAGCTATTACCTGCCAAAAAAGAATCCTTTGGGTAGCAGCACCGGTTGGAACTCCTTCTGGCCACATTGGAATGACAATGTAGGCAGCAAATCTCTCATGTGCTTTAATTTTATCGGCAATTTTCAATGCGATTTCCATTGGGATTAAGTTATTAGCACCTGCAAGAATATAGTAGAATCACAAACATCTTCACATCAGTCTTGAATTTATTACAGCAAGGACCACCTATTAAGAATAACAAATCCCACACTGACTAAGTTCCATACCTAAATCTTTATATGAACTCCAGTTATACGAAGACCCAATGAAATACTGGTTCTCGATGTATATGAAGTGCTGGGCAGCGCGGATAGCTTTCACGTATGCTGTGTGGATGCTCATATCAATCAATACATTCTTTCCACACATCAGATTCTGGTACAGTAGAGAATAATCAATAAGCTTGGACAATAAAAGATTTGATGGTAGAAACCCAGAAACTCAAACACGGTTTCTTTTAGAAGGTTTTCTCACCTTCGGCGTGGCATCTTTCGGATCCTTTGGGAAGCCTCTAACAGAATTTGAGTCAATTGAACGAAAGATCTGCATCCAACAAGCCAAATAGATTTACTTTGTTCTCTCTCACAAAAGACAAACAGCATAAACATCCTAAAGTTTCACCTTCACTACTTATATCCACTCAAAGGCATCACTAAATTACCTGGACATGCCAAGTTTCTGGATCATTCTCACCCACACAAGGAGCATCAGAAGCTGCCACTATATCAGGAATCCTGTCTATCCTTAATAAAGCATCATCATATGAAGTTTTCAGCTTTTTCAGTCCACGGGGTTTGGCAGCCTTGAACCAGCGCTCTTCGAAGTTGGTGAGAACGTCATATGCCGCTGGACCATCAATTCTACTGTGCAAGTCATGCCATGGTTCTCTCGGGCAACCAGAAACACTTCCCTGTTTAGCATTGAATAGTCAATTCTTTGCTCAATTTTAACACTCAGAAAGACTCACTTTTCAATTTTCATAAATGACCCTGTGCAGGAAACTCATCCTGAAATATACTGTGGTTAAAAGCAGTGTAACAACATATTATGTTGACCACTAAAAGCATACCGTGAAAGTAGGGTTGTGATAGTCATCTTTATGGACGGTATCGAGTGTCCTAAATAGTGGGTGATGGGGAGTGTCATATCGGCCATCACATAGATCAAGGCCACCAACAAATGCCATGATTTTTCTCCTATTATAGCCAGCATCCGTATCTACGATTACGGTCTTCTGATGGTGCGTATAGATAGTTTCAACTTCCTGATATAGAAAAGACATTTACATGGTCAGATATTTGCAGATCAAACATGTGAAACCTGATTAAAACAAATCCTGTGCAGGATTGTTTCTTGTAAGGTGCATTTTATATGAAAAAGGAAAAGGAAATAACTTCAAGTTAAGTTCCAGAGGAACTTATGGGAACAGCAAGAAAGCATGCAAAATTCACTTTCATGGGGGTTTTTTCTTCTTCCAATTTTCTGTCTTTTACAACTCGCAAGCAACCTCGTACAAAAGATAAGAAGTTGAACATGGAAAATCACCAACAGGAAAATCATACAGACTAAATAACAGTCAGTTCATCAGATAATACCCATTAATTGAGCGTACTCTCAATCCATTGGACTATTTTTGTTGTCTGCCCATTACCAAAAGGCATGTGGAACTGAACTAGATAATGCTTGTGTAACCTCCTTGTACTAATCAGATCGTTTTTACCAAAAAGATAGCCATCAGCTTTGGTAAAGCAGCATTAATGCAATGGAATCCATACAACTGAAAGTTTACTTCAGTTACTATTACTCACCCTCTGCTTGACCCAGCTATGTTTCTTCCCAGCAATGCGGGGGCAAAGCAATACCTGCACCGATGAGTGTTTAAAGAAACGCCGTGTTTCCTCATCATGCGTTGCCATAATTCCATCCTGCATGGAGCAAATTTCAAAGAGGTTTAGCAGAGAAACCTGGAACCTTAGCAGCTGAAAAATGGAAGGATTTGAATGAGATAGCAGGGCAATATCCTCAATTGAATCGACCATTCAGTAACCATTCCGAACTAATTACAAACAAGCACATGTGGCAGGATAAATTCGAAACCAAGAAGTACAACAGTCAGCATTTCTTACTGTTCTGTATCCCAAAATACTCCTTGATGTAGGGTCATCCCAAACAAGAAGCAGAACTCTTACTCCCTCCTGGGACTTGGATCGGAGAAGCTCCCCCAAGGAACTATCAAAAGGACAAGCAGCATCCCTGATAAGTCTAACTTTGTGCCACACTGACCACCCAGTAATATAGACCAAACGCTTAGCCTGTCGTATTGCATCAAAGATATCTCGCCAGCACTGACCATGCACATAGGACATCCCATTATCAAGGTTCAGATTCGGAAGAAACCCATCCGGTACATGTGCGTCTTGATAAAGTGTCACTCTTCCACCTTTCCTTAGAGGAAAATATGTGCCTGGAACCCCTTGATAATCAGGACCAGCCCCAACACCATGATGGTAAATGCTCAACCTTTCCATGGGTATGTACTGAATCGAAATTCTTAGCATAGCACCAGGTTTGCATGGTTTTCGACTGCTGTTGAGAATCGGGTAAATACCTTCTATTTTGGACCCTGAATATATTTGCTCCACTGGGATTGAGACAGCTCCTATCAATTGTGAACCAACCACATCACTGTCTTTTACCACAAAGTGCACTTCAGCAGCATGATGTGCAACAGGAACATAAAAATGTTGGCACCAAATAGGATTTTCGCTATTGCTAAGCACATAAGTTCTCCCCAGAACAGCACGCCCTACTGAGATCGAGACATAAGGATCACTAGTAATCTTGTCACTCACTTGTCCTTCTATTTTGTTGCTTAAATTTGCAGGGAACTTATTCAGCATATCCCCCAATCTCTTGTGAAACATGTCCATGTTTGGAAGCTTCTGGGCATCATAAACCCAAATATCCAGATTCCCATGCAGCAACAAAACCCTCAAGGACCCTTTAGTACCAAACGGGACAATTTGGAGGGATGTGCCTTGTGGTGAACCATCAAATGGAGGCGAATGCACATGAGCAGAAGGCGAAGCCGTAGCATAAGGTGAAGCAGAACCAAAAGAATCTACGTGGCCCAAATAGGCTCCTTCATAGTGACTTGAAAAGGAGTCATTAGGATAACCATAGAATCCTGCTTCTTGCCTATAATATCCCATACTGGAAGTTTGATGGCTGAGTGAAGGAGAGCCGGGCAATGCTGGAATTAAAGATGATGCAGGTGATGCAGGGGCGGAAGGACGAGCTTCGTGGTCATTCAGATGCACATTACTCAACATGTCATCTAGAGGTGGGTAGGGTGAATACGACGAATTTGAACTGGGCGTATCACAAAGATTGTCCTGATGAGTGGATGATCCAGTCCCCAAAGGAGGACAGCTCTCATGTCTACCATGTCCGGGGAAGCTACTCCC